CCCCAAAACCCCAAAACCCCAAAACCCCATGAGAATACTATTACATTTAATAAAGGCCTTATAATTTATGAAATTAATTAATTAGATTGTTAAATGATTATTTATGCTCATTTTTTCTGCTTACATGTACAGAATTTAAGACCGCAATGAGCACATTTCTTATTAGAGCTATTTTCTAGAAACTTCAGATCTTCTCTTTTGATTTCACTTGTATCGTAAATAGTCTTCGGTTGAGTTTTATGATAGGCAGGTGCAATCCATTAAGGATTTTCTGCAGCTTCTTTGGCTACTGCTAGCAAGGCTTCTCGAGCATCTTAGTCTCTACTATCGTTTTTGACTAGATTTCTCATCAAATACTATGTATAAGTGCCACTTGAAGAAAACTTTCCACCTCTACCTAATGGCCCTTGCAAAGGCATATCAGGTTTTCTGGTTAGAAGCGGATCGTTTCTTATTTTGTCTTTACGGTGCTAGGGGTCTAGGACTTCAGGCGGGATAAAAGCAGAAGGAGCATTTTGATTGTTTGGATTCCAAGGATCCTTCTCCATTTCCTTTTCTTTCTCATCTTCGTAAACACTTGGAGTAAGTATTGGTCTGTTGAATATAGTAATACCATCTATTGGCTTTCTCTTTTCAAGCTTAACTAAACTAGTGGTAATGCCTCTCTCACTTAGTTTGGGATCGTAAAGCACTCTAATGTTTGAATCTGCCGAGCCAACAACTATTTAATTGATCGAGGGATGCCAGAAAACCTGAATAACAGACTCCTAAGCAATAGCAGACTGATTTACTATCTCTCCTGTTTAAACATCACAAGCTACAAGTAAACCATAGCCGAAACCTTTTCTTACAGAAGTGCCAGTGAGCACCAATCTCTCGTCAGGTGATATAGAAACATTAGTCTTGCTTGATAGGTTGATAAGATCTTTCCACTCTTAAAAGGGGTGCTTAGTATTTCTGATGTCCCATAGTTTGAGTGTATCGTCCATTGCTCTTGTCACTAATCTTTTATCATCCTTAAAGAATTTTACGCAAGATACTTCTGATCCTTATGTATGAGCTTATGTGAAGTTTATAGTAGGTCTATGAAAACTCTTGAACTTTCTATCCCAAATTTACACTGAGCCATCTGCACAACCTCCTACTATAAGGTTTCCATTTGATGAGAATGTGCATGAGTTGATAGCAACTTTCTAGCCTTTAGTGTTGTGAGCCTTAATGCATTGCTCATGCATCAAATTCTAATCGACACCAACTGTTTTAGACTCAATATTCCAAAGTCTGATTGATCCATCTAAACTTGCTGTCATAAAATTTTTCTTTTCAACTGGATGCCATTTACCGTCTAAAATTGCAGCTACGTGGCCTTTAGTATTAGCCATGTCTGAGATGTACATATCACCCCTTATTGTTGTTTACACTTTTCCTCCGTCTCTGTTATATATTCTCGCTTGGTTATTTCCACAACAACACAAGAAGTTTTCACCATCAGGATCGAATGATAATGCATTCACTGGATGACCATCAAAAGGCTTGTATTCTCTCATTGATTTCAGCTTTCTATTCATGCCTGGGAAATCCCATATTTTCAATATAAAATCAAGGCCTCCTGTAACCATCCTATTGCCATACAAATCGATATCCATTGCTTAAATTGACCTTTAATGACCTTGAAGAACTACTTCATGAGTAATTGGTAAGTTGTACTAATTAGCCATGTCATCGTCACTATCTATATCATTATTAGTTGAACTATTTCCTCCTAAGACATCCTTGGTATTCCTGTAGATTTAATTGAGCTTCCTGTTCCTCTCACTCTCTTCTAATTGGTTTTACTTGACAATGCTATCATCCTCACTATCCTCATTATCATTTTTCTGAAATAAGTCAAGCTTAGGCCCAGCAAAGTCATCGTCCTCCTCTTCATCCTAGTTGATCTCGAAATCCTGCTTCTTGGCTACTTTTTAGACCTCTATTTTTGCTCTTTTATGCTGTGAGTGCACTTTGGATATCTCCTCAGTGCTCATCCTGTTTAACTTTTAGCTGTCTTTGCCTAGCACAACTGGCACATACTGGCTTTAGCTACTAGCGCTGCTCTACAAATTTTTCTTCTGTAAATTCTACTGCTTTCGTCTAGTCTCCTCCTCATATTCCTCCATTAATTGCTTTTTATACCGTTCTATTTCCTGCTGCCTTCTATCTTTCCTGCTTTACTCGTCATCATCTTGGTCTTCATTCATATATGCCATACCTCCATCCTCAGAATTCATAAACTACTATTACAACTTGACGAGGTTGATATCAGAGATGTCGCCCGAAGATATAATTATTGGCTCATTAGATGATCTATCTATGCTAACATTAGCCCTCTCATAGTTTACATTTTTAGATCTCCTCAGCATTTCTTGTCTCTCGAACTACTGACTCATCAAAGTCTCTCTGGAAATAATAGGAGTATTCTAATTATTGGGATTTCTATTCACTCCACCAAGCCTAGACATGGGGACTTTAAAGTCGTCGTCAATTTTATCAGAATTAGAATTCTTTAAGGATGGAGTAGGGCTATATGAATCCTAAGATTCGGATCTAGTCTCTGAAGCAGGTGAATGAGTTTGCTACTTTTCCTACTTAGATTTGTTGTGCAATGATGACTAGAACTTTGAAGATTGCCTCAAAGCAGCCATTTCGCTTTCTTCGTCCGACATTTTTGTTATTATTATCTTTAACTCTTTAAATTCTATAAATATTCGATAATCACCGACCGGGGTTTTGGGGTTTTGGGG